TCCAGCACTCGGATCTGGTTGTAGGACAGGTCCAGGCTGCGCAGGTGGGACAGGAGCTGCAGGTTCTCCACCCTCTGGATGCGATTCCCAGCCAGGCACAGGAACCTGCAGAGCACGGGGAGGGTCAGGAGGGGACATCACAGCCTTTTTGGGGACACCAGGGTGGAATGGGACCCCCCTTCCCCACCCCAGGGGAGCAGGAGCTGCTGTACCTCAGGTTGGGGAAAGAGTCCAAATTCTCGATCTTCTCGATTTGGTTCTGGGAAATAAAATAGAAGAACCCAAAGTGTGTGAAAAATCCCATTTTGGGAGGATTTTTCGGGGATTGATGTAGTGAATCCATGGAGATTGTGGAGAGGGAATGGGGTGGGGGGAGATCCCTGAATTCAGGGAAACAGCAGAATTCCAGTGGAGTGGGAATTGGATGGGAGGGGGCTCAGAGACCCCCGTGGTGGGGTGGGGAGGTCACTGGGATCAGAACCATTCCCTCCTGGATTTTGGGGAGGGAATCCAACACCAATTGGGGCTGTGTGTGACCCCACAGGAGCGGGGCTGACCCCACAGCTCCGTACCTGCTGCAGGTAGAGGCTGTGGATGTCCACCAGCTGCCTCAGTTTCCCGATGGAGGAGATGTTCTCCCGGTCCAGGCGGATGGAGGTGGTGGGCAGCAGCCTGGTGTGTCTGGGGGGACACAGAGTGGGGTTTTGGGGGGCTCAGAGCCGGCCCGGGACACACAGCGGGGTTTTTTTGGGGGTTCAGAGCCCCCTCATTGCCAGCCCAGGACACAGAGCAGGATTTTTTTGGGGATCAGAGCCCCCTCATTGCCAGCCCGGGACACAGAGTGGGGTTTTGGGGGTCTCAGAGCCCCCTTACTGCCAGCCCGGGACACAGAGCAGGGTTTTTGGGGTTCAGAGCCAGCCCAGGACACACAGGGGGGTTTTTTGGGGGGCTCAGAGCCAGCCCGGGACACAGAGTGGGGTTTTTGGGGGTTCAGAGCCCCCTCACTGCCAGCCCAGGACACACAGAGGGGTTTTTGGGGGTTCAGAGCCCCCTCATTGCCAGCCCAGCACACACAGAGGGGTTTTTTGGGGGTTCAGAGCCAGCCCAGGACACACAGTGGGGTTTTTGGGGGATCAGAGCCAGCCCGGGACACAGAGTGGGGTTTTTGGGGGGCTCAGAATCCCCTCATTGCCATCCCAGAACACACAGTGGGGTTTTTGGGGGGCTCAGAACCCCCTCATTGCCATCCCAGAACACACAGTGGGGTTTTTGGGGGTTCAGAGCCCCCTCACTGCCATCCCGAGCTCGGGGGATCCTCACCGGCTCCGGGTGTTGATGAGGCTGTCGTTGAGGGTCACTCCCGGGGRTTTCTTCTCGGGTCCTTTTTGGGGATTCAGAGTGAGTGAGGGTCCAGCCCCGGATTGGGGTGCAGCCCCCCCAAACCCTCCCCACAATGGAGGTCTC